AGACGTGATAAGGCTCCGTATCAAAGGCGAGGATTATTATTATTATTATGATGATGATGGTGATGGTGGGTTTACAAAGGGTGAATTGTCCTTCCTGTGAGCAAGTGGTTGGGAGCTTTATCTGAAGGGGGGGGAGGGCGGCATAATAATAATTATAATATAACGTGAGGCACAGGGAGGCCACTGGATGGAGTCACTGGTCAACGGAACAGGAAGTATGTCAAGCTGACCCACGCAGGAAGTGAGTCGCGTACGACCGAGGTTGGGAGGGAGAGCGGACGGGGTTTGCTTGTAGGTCACCGGAGCCATGACCTGTCGGTCAGGGATGATGGACTTCCTGGTACCACAACAACAACAACAACCGCCGCCGCCGCCGCCACAACTTGCGTTTGCGTTCCAATCGCTCACCGGGTGGTGAACACAACAAATTTCAATCCCAATCCCTTTTCCGCGCACAGTCCCACCTCACGCACGTCCCGGACTCCCCCTTACGTCGACAGTTTGTGCGGGAAAGTCCAACGAATCTGCACCACCACCCCCCACCCCCCCCGAACACGTACCCCAGCAAGAACAACACACACCCAAACCCCCCACCCCACCACCCACCCACCCACCCACTCTTTCTCGCCAGAGAACAGTATCACCATTTCGGGTACAAATCCTGGTCACCAACTTATTTTTTCCTTTTTTTTTAAAAAAAGTCTTTTCATGTAAATATATTTATATTTATACATATTTGGCTATATTTACAAAAGTATGCAAACACTGTCTCGTCTTCTGCAGTCCATAATTTGAGCGCTGGGGATTCAACGCGACCTTTTTTTTTTTTCGCACGGTATATAGAACAGTCCCCCCCCACCCCCCAAAAATAATCGAGTGCACCAGGTCCCTCCAGGAGTCCAGGCTAGAGTTCGGCAAACACCCCAGCAGTGGTAGTTGTAGCCGAAACTTGTCCACGGACACAAGTTTCCGGAGGTTTTCCAAAAGGATTTGACTCTTCCACTGAGCCGTGTTGTTCCCAGAGAGCGAGAGGGTTATTTCTGTCCTTTTATTACGCCCCCGTGTTTTTTTTCTCTCGCGCGGAACCTTAACACTTTTGACAGACCTGCACCCACGTGCGGAGGCTCGTTCAATCAATCGCAGTCTTGTCGCTACTCGCAGTATCACTGGGGGGGAACGGTTAAGGTGAACAGGGGGTAAGAGTTGCTGACGAGAGCGATGGGGAAAGGGGATACTGCGCCTTGTTGTTTCCTCAGTGTTTATATATGGCTTTTTCTCTCGTACAATTCCCATCCCTTTCCAGTCATCCGTAAAAGTCCAGGTAAATCTCCGTGGAAAAAGTGGGGTGGGGGTGGGGGGACATTTCTTTTTTTACACTTGATTTAACAGTTGCGGAACGAAGATTTGCGAATTGCTTCGACAACTTGCCTCGTGGAGTGTACACGTACACACACTCACGTTACGTACACACTCACAGACTTGCTACAGATGACTGTGTGCGGGTGTGTGTGTGTGTGTGTTGTGTGGGTGTGGGTGGGGGGTAGGGGGGGATGTGGGGGAAAGGGGAAAAGAAATAAAACAGTTATCGATTCGACTCAGTTACAAACTGAGATCTTACGAGTTGAGTTCCCACACTGGACGTGACCAAAAAGGCCCGACTTGCCTCAGTGTTTCCGCTTGAGTGCTCCGTTCATCTGTCCCGGGTACTTGGGAAGGCACGGTTCTTCAGGCAGAGGGTCGTGGGAGAACACTGAATCCTCCCCGGATGAACACGTCGAGCTCCTGGTGTCCGGGAAGCTGGGCGAGTACTGATCCAGAGTCACCGACAGGTCAAGGTACTCCTGCAAGTCAACAGCGACAGGTTACGCTCACACAGCGCCAGGCTTTCACGTCCCAAGGCACTGGGCTGGACAGCCAGGGGTTTGGACCCGAGCTGGGGGTCGGGATCAGGAGGGGGTGGAGGGCGGGGGAGAGGGTAGGGGGGTGACCGAAGGAGCGGTTGGTCGAAGAGGAGGGTCTTGAGATGGGCCTTGAAGGAGGCGAGGGAGATGAGCGAGGCGATGGGACTGGGCGATGGAGGCGAGGGAGTGAAGGGGTTTGAAAACGAGAGAGAGATGACTGGGGGAATGGGCTCCTGATTGTTAGCAATTGGCCTCCCTCCCTCCCACACTCCCTCCCACACTCCCTCCCACACTCCCTCCCTCCGCTCCTCACCTGATTCACAGTCATTGCAAGAATCCTGTCCAAGTCTTCCACAAGCTGCTTAAACGTAGGCCGTTGGGATGGCATGACGTGCCAGCAATCCCTCATTGTCATGTACCTGGGCACAAATATATAATACCATATAATAATATAACAATAGTCCAACGAAAGGTCATCGAGACCCGAAACTCACTTTCCTCTCTCTTCCTCTCGCTCTCCATAGGTGTTGCCTGACCTGCTCCCAGCGACTTCTGTTTTGATGTTTATCTAATATTCCTGGCGTCCGTTAGTTAAGACGTCTTTTCGACACGAACAGACGTGGAGGCGGTGACCAACTAACTATTATTTCATTTGCTTATTATTTTGAAGGGGTAATTACCCCCGGGAAAGCGATCCGCCAATCGACTAACAACCGGGTTCCTACCGACCGCTGGATAAACAGAGGCAAATATATCAAATGGAAGCATTATTATTATTAATATTATTATTAATATTATTATTATTATTATCCGCCAGGTGCTTTGACTGGGCGGCCACGAGAGGAACGAGAACGCAAGTCCTGATCCTTCTCTTGCGGTCTTCTTGATCCCGACAAATCTGTCTGCACAATGTTAGATAAATAAACCTGTTGGATAGGAATAAATATATTCTGTGCGTGCAGGAGCAACGTAAGTAAATTCCGAGCTCACTCTCGCGCGGGAAAATCACCAACCCGCATAAATAAATGAGGCATTTTTTTTTTTTTTTTTTTTTAGCTGAGAAAAAAAACGTGGTTCAAAGCCGGAGATGTTTGCTTGAAGAGTTTCCCTTCCGAAGCAAATACGCAGCGAGATGAATCGGTTTAATTGCACAAACAGATGAAATATTTCCTTCCGTGTGAAGGGCTCTGTGTTAAGACCCACCAGGAAGAAATCGCAAAGTTTTCAATAATTTTTTCTATCAAAATATGAGATCGAGACGTCTCAAAGCGCTCCACAGGATCCACTGTAAAGCGCAGTGACTGTGTTTTGTGGGCGGAACGCGGCAGCCGATTGCGCACAGCAGCGTCCGTCCCGCAAACAGCCGCGGGTCGAGCGACCAAACGATGCGTGTTTTTTTTTGGAAGGAATTATTAAATGCAGCGAAAGTTGCGCGCAAGAGAGTTCCTGGGCTCGTTCTCTGAGGCTGAGGAGAGGTGCGGTGTGCTGGGTGTTGCGGTCGAAACCTTTGCAGATAGGTTCGACAGAGAGAGAGAGAGAGAAATGCAAGAGAGTTGCGTTCGCAACTCGCGTTTGGTTCAGACTGCGCCCCTGATGGAACCTGGGTTTGCGCCAAAGAGCGAGCGTTTCACTAACCATGACCGTAGCGAGTCACTGAACCCCACTGCGTTCTCTCTGCTTCACCTATGTTAGCTCCGAGGAGCAGGTTTGCACACGAAACTCGTTGGTTTGCGCTTGGCTTCATGGAAACGCTATTAAAACCTCATTTTTCCCGCTCCCTGCGGAGCAGCGAGCCCCAGATTTGAAGAGGACAGACACCCTTGTCCCCAGATCCCACCAACCCGCACGAAACGTTCGTCGGACATTAATAATAATAATAATAATAATACCCTTGCGTTTGATGCAGCTCCTCATCACGTCTTCGAGACGTCTCAAAGCGCTTCACAGGATACACGGTCAAATGAATTGCCCTTGTGTTTTTGTCTGCATAACATGGCAGCCAAGTGTCCCATAAACAGTGGCGGATTGAGTGACCAAATTATTATTATTATATATTTTTTCATTTCCTCCCTCCCTCCCTCCCCTCCCTCCCACCTCCCTCGCCCCCAAGTCTGGGCTGGCATCTGTGCCATTAATTTGAGGCGGGGATCCGCATACCCTTACCAAACGGTACGTACAATAAGGTCCAAGTTCAGAAGGAACTCCAGGAGGTATTAATGATAATCCTCGCGTCAATAATCTTCGAGACGTCTCAAAGCGCTTCGAGGTGTTTGGAGATTCCATTGGGGATTCACAGTCGATTATCTGGGATGCCCGGGTCAAAATGTTCGAGCGAGCTCGCCTGGTATTACCTAATTTATTGGTTTTTTTTAATAAACAGAAAATGTTTTGTCTTTTTATATATGTTTACGCCGGTTTTAAAACGTGATATTGTTAACAGGGGCTGTAGTTATTCCCATATATTTACCATTTTGTGATTAAATTCTTTTTAACATCTTATCTGACTTTTGGGTTTTGTTGGTAGTTTCCTCGGGAAGGATTTCCGTGTTTGATCCCCAGTGTTTTATCATCTCCGTGTCTTTCTCGCACCGTTTCACACGATCAGTTGCTGTGGAGTTGCTCTAAACTCAGTGACTGCGCAGGTTACCAGCAGTGCGCCCAATGATAATAATAATAATAATAATCTTTGCATTTGACACAGCGCCTTAATCAAAGTCACCGAGACATCTCAAAGCACTTCACCGAATGTACTGTAAAGTGTCGTGACTGTGTGTTTTGTGGGCGAAACGCGGCAGCCGATCGCGCACAGCAACGTCCCCCACACACACGGCCGTGGATTGAGTGATAGACGTGATAGGGCTCCGTATCAAAGGCGAGGATTATTATTATTATTATGATGATGATGGTGATGGTGGGTTTACAAAGGGTGAATTGTCCTTCCTGTGAGCAAGTGGTTGGGAGCTTTATCTGAAGGGGGGGGAGGGCGGCATAATAATAATTATAATATAACGTGAGGCACAGGGAGGCCACTGGATGGAGTCACTGGTCAATGGAACAGGAAGTATGTCAAGCTGACCCACGCAGGAAGTGAGTCGCGTACGACCGAGGTTGGGAGGGAGAGCGGACGGGGTTTGCTTGTAGGTCACCGGAGCCATGACCTGTCGGTCAGGGATGATGGACTTCCTGGTACCGACAACAACAACAACAACCGCCGCCGCCGCCGCCACAACTTGCGTTTGCGTTCCAATCGCTCACCGGGTGGTGAACACAACAAATTTCAATCCCAATCCCTTTTCCGCGCACAGTCCCACCTCACGCACGTCCCGGACTCCCCCTTACGTCGACAGTTTGTGCGGGAAAGTCCAACGAATCTGCACCACCACCCCCCCACCCCCCCCGAACACGTACCCCAGCAAGAACAACACACACCCAAACCCCCCCCACCCCACCCCCACCCACCCACCCACTCTTTCTCGCCAGAGAACAGTATCACCATTTCGGGTACAAATCCTGGTCACCAACTTATTTTTTCCTTTTTTTTTAAAAAAAAGTCTTTTCATGTAAATATATTTATATTTATACATATTTGGCTATATTTACAAAAGTATGCAAACACTGTCTCGTCTTCTGCAGTCCATAATTTGAGCGCTGGGGATTCAACGCGACCTTTTTTTTTTTTCGCACGGTATATAGAACAGTCCCCCCCCCCACCCCAAAAATAATCGAGTGCACCAGGTCCCTCCAGGAGTCCAGGCTAGAGTTCGGCAAACACCCCAGCAGTGGTAGTTGTAGCCGAAACTTGTCCACGGACACAAGTTTCCGGAGGTTTTCCAAAAGGATTTGACTCTTCCACTGAGCCGTGTTGTTCCCAGAGAGCGAGAGGGTTATTTCTGTCCTTTTATTACGCCCCCGTGTTTTTTTTCTCTCGCGCGGAACCTTAACACTTTTGACAGACCTGCACCCACGTGCGGAGGCTCGTTCAATCAATCGCAGTCTTGTCGCTACTCGCAGTATCACTGGGGGGGAACGGTTAAGGTGAACAGGGGGTAAGAGTTGCTGACGAGAGCGATGGGGAAAGGGGATACTGCGCCTTGTTGTTTCCTCAGTGTTTATATATGGCTTTTTCTCTCGTACAATTCCCATCCCTTTCCAGTCATCCGTAAAAGTCCAGGTAAATCTCCGTGGAAAAAGTGGGGTGGGGGTGGGGGGACATTTCTTTTTTTACACTTGATTTAACAGTTGCGGAACGAAGATTTGCGAATTGCTTCGACAACTTGCCTCGTGGAGTGTACACGTACACACACTCACGTTACGTACACACTCACAGACTTGCTACAGATGACTGTGTGCGGGTGTGTGTGTGTGTGTGTTGTGTGGGTGTGGGTGGGGGGTAGGGGGGGGATGTGGGGGAAAGGGGAAAAGAAATAAAACAGTTATCGATTCGACTCAGTTACAAACTGAGATCTTACGAGTTGAGTTCCCACACTGGACGTGACCAAAAAGGCCCGACTTGCCTCAGTGTTTCCGCTTGAGTGCTCCGTTCATCTGTCCCGGGTACTTGGGAAGGCACGGTTCTTCAGGCAGAGGGTCGTGGGAGAACACTGAATCCTCCCCGGATGAACACGTCGAGCTCCTGGTGTCCGGGAAGCTGGGCGAGTACTGATCCAGAGTCACCGACAGGTCAAGGTACTCCTGCAAGTCAACAGCGACAGGTTACGCTCACACAGCGCCAGGCTTTCACGTCCCAAGGCACTGGGCTGGACAGCCAGGGGTTTGGACCCGAGCTGGGGGTCGGGATCAGGAGGGGGTGGAGGGCGGGGGAGAGGGTAGGGGGGTGACCGAAGGAGCGGTTGGTCGAAGAGGAGGGTCTTGAGATGGGCCTTGAAGGAGGCGAGGGAGATGAGCGAGGCGATGGGACTGGGCGATGGAGGCGAGGGAGTGAAGGGGTTTGAAAACGAGAGAGAGATGACTGGGGGAATGGGCTCCTGATTGTTAGCAATTGGCCTCCCTCCCTCCCACACTCCCTCCCACACTCCCTCCCACACTCCCTCCCTCCGCTCCTCACCTGATTCACAGTCATTGCAAGAATCCTGTCCAAGTCTTCCACAAGCTGCTTAAACGTAGGCCGTTGGGATGGCATGACGTGCCAGCAATCCCTCATTGTCATGTACCTGGGCACAAATATATAATACCATATAATAATATAACAATAGTCCAACGAAAGGTCATCGAGACCCGAAACTCACTTTCCTCTCTCTTCCTCTCGCTCTCCATAGGTGTTGCCTGACCTGCTCCCAGCGACTTCTGTTTTGATGTTTATCTAATATTCCTGGCGTCCGTTAGTTAAGACGTCTTTTCGACACGAACAGACGTGGAGGCGGTGACCAACTAACTATTATTTCATTTGCTTATTATTTTGAAGGGGTAATTACCCCCGGGAAAGCGATCCGCCAATCGACTAACAACCGGGTTCCTACCGACCGCTGGATAAACAGAGGCAAATATATCAAATGGAAGCATTATTATTATTAATATTATTATTAATATTATTATTATTATTATCCGCCAGGTGCTTTGACTGGGCGGCCACGAGAGGAACGAGAACGCAAGTCCTGATCCTTCTCTTGCGGTCTTCTTGATCCCGACAAATCTGTCTGCACAATGTTAGATAAATAAACCTGTTGGATAGGAATAAATATATTCTGTGCGTGCAGGAGCAACGTAAGTAAATTCCGAGCTCACTCTCGCGCGGGAAAATCACCAACCCGCATAAATAAATGAGGCATTTTTTTTTTTTTTTTTTTTTAGCTGAGAAAAAAAACGTGGTTCAAAGCCGGAGATGTTTGCTTGAAGAGTTTCCCTTCCGAAGCAAATACGCAGCGAGATGAATCGGTTTAATTGCACAAACAGATGAAATACTTCCTTCCGTGTGAAGGGCTCTGTGTTAAGACCCACCAGGAAGAAATCGCAAAGTTTTCAATAATTTTTCTATCAAAATATGAGACCGTGGGGTCAAATCTGTGGGCCAAGGTGAGACTTATGTAGAACCTCCTCCTCCTCTATCTCACCCCAACCTCTTTCTCTATATACTGAAGTCAGAGAAGCCAGGACCCTGGCGCAACTTAGCAATAATAATAATCCTTGCGTTCGACCCGGCGCCTTATCACGTCTTCCAGACGCCTCGAAGCGCTTCACAGGATAGATTGCAAAGTGTAGCGACTGCGTGTTTTGCGGGCGAAACGCGGCAGCCGATTGCGCACGGCAGCGTCCCCCCCCCACAAACAGCCGCGGGTTGAGTGACCAAATTATTATTATTTTTTGAAGGGATTATTCCCCCTGGAAAAGCGATCCCCCAATAGACTAACAACCGGGTTCCTACTGACTGCCGGTAACCAGAGTGTGTGTGTGTGTGTGTGTGTGTGGGGTGGGCGGGTGGGGGGGAAGTAAGGAAACTTGCCCAATGTTTCGCCCTGACCTGACCCGCCCGGGAATTGAACCCGGGTCCTCTCGCTTGCGAGGCGAGGGCTCTAACCCCTGAGCTACAGGGAACTCCACCATGTTCTTATCATCCTCCATCCAGCGCCATTTGGCCATGGGACACAAGGCTTCCAATCGGCGAGACTTTACTCACAGTTCGTTGGTGCAGCTGGATGGCTTGTCCATTCTGTGGCCTTCTTTCAGTAGCTTGAAGAGCTCCTCTACTGGGATGCCAGGGTAAGGAGATCCCCCCAGCGTGAAAATCTCCCAAGCAACACCCCAAAGGACCAGCTGTGGAGCACAAACCAGGCTTGGCGTCAGTGTGGTGGGAGGACCTTTACATTACAGCTTGTGAATGCACCACCATCTTGACGTACTCTGCTCGGTTGTTGTTGCTGTAGTTGTTCTTGAGGTCCAAGTCCAATACCGTGTACCAGGCTCACTCTGGACCAGCTATTTAATCCAGGTCCTCTTAAATGTGGTGCCAGGGTGTTGGCAAATAGACTTGCCCGCTGTGAAGCTGGGTGCTTACTTAGCAACAGGTCAGTGCAGGCGGAGCCCTCCACCTCTCCCTCCCTGCAGCCACTTCCCACGAGATATCTTCAGACTGATTTTACCAACCTTGAGAGGCCTATGGGGCTGAGGGAACCGTAGGAACAGGAGGAGGCCATTCAGCCCCTTGAGCCTGTTCTGCCATTCCATAAGATCATGGCTGATCTGTACCTCAACTCCAATTACCCACCTTTGCCCCATATGCCTTGATCCCCTGACCCAACAAACATCTACCCACCTCAGACTGGACAATGTGAAGATGGATTCAATGGACCCCAATGGAATTCGAAACAAGAACCTTTTTGTCCACAGACAACAACAACAACAACAACACACGTCATTTACACAGCGCCGTTCACGTTGGGAGGACGTCCCAAGGCGTTGGACCTGAGCCAAAGGGATTGTACTTACACGTCACTCTGGTGTGTGTATATTCGATCAAACAAAGCTTCGGGAGCCATCCATTTCACTGGGAGTCGACCCTACAACAACAACAACAAAATGAGATTTATACGTCGCCTTTCACATCGTGAGGACCTCCCAAGGCGCTGGACAGTCAGCTGGGGTTCGGGATCGGGGCGGGTGGGGAAGGAGGATGATCGAAGGCACGGTCGAAAAGGAGGGTCTTGAGATGGGTCTTGAAGGAGACGAGGGAGGGGGTGAGGCAGAGGGGCTGTGGGATGGAGTTCCAGAGGGTGGGGGCAGAGAGGCTGAAGGCCCGAACGCCAATACAAAAACCAAGAAACCGAGTGAGAAACAACAGCTTCTGTACTTTCACATCACAATGTCTCCTCAGCTGTTTCCCCATCTCCTGTCTACAATAATAATAATAATAATCCCGGCATTTGACCCGGCGCCTCGTCACGTCTTCGAGACGTCTCAAAGCGCTTCACGGGACACATTGCAAAGTGTAGTGACTGAGTGTTTTGTGGGCGAAACGCGGCAGCCAACTGAGCACAGCAGCGTTCCCCCACAAACAGTGGTGGATTGAGCGACCAAATAATGTTTTATTGGAAGGGATTATTACCCCCGAAAAAGCGATCCCCCAATCGACTAACAACCGTGTGTGTGTGTATGTGTGTGTGTGTGTGTGGGGGGGGTGGGGGGTGGGGGCTGGTGGGGGAGTTAGGAAACTTGCCCCACATTTCGCCCTGACCTGACCCACCCGGGAATCGAACCCGGGTCCTCTCGCTGGCAAAGGCGAGGGCTCTAACCCCTGAGCTCCCGGGAACTCCTACAATGACGGCAAAGGCTGACACACTCACATTTGTTGTCTTTTTGTAGTAGTCGATGTGGTGAACGTCCCGGGCCAGCCCGAAGTCAGCGATCTTCATCACATTATCTTCGGTAACAAGAACGTTCCTCGCAGCTAAATCCCGGTGGATACACTGTGAGGGGAATCATAGAATCATAGGATTATACAGCGCAGAAAGAGGCTATTCGGCCCATCGTGTCTGTGTCGGCTCTTTGAAGAGACCTTCCAAATCAACCCCACTCCTCCCCCGCTCTCTCCCCACAGCCCTGATCAACCCCACTCCCCCGCTCTCTCCCCATAGCCCTGATCAACCCCACTCCCCCGCTCTTTCCCCATAGCCCTGATCAACCCCACTCCCCCGCTCTCTCCCCATAGCCCTGATCAACCCCACTCCCCCCCTCTCTCCCCATAGCCCTGATCAACCCCACTCCCCACTCTCTCCCCATAGCCCTGATCAACCCCACTCCCCCGCTCTCTCCCCATAGCCCTATCAACCCCACTCCCCCGCTCTCCCCCATAGCCCTGGTCAACCCCACTCCCCCCGCTCTCCCCATAGCCCTGATCAACCCCACTCCCCCCTTCTCTCCCCATAGCACTGATCAACCCCACTCCCCCCCTCTCTCACCATAGCCCTGATCAACCCCACTCCCCCCTTCTCTCCCCATAGCACTGATCAACCCCACTCCCCGTGCTCTCCCCATAGCCCTGATCAACCCCACTCCCCGCGCTCTCCCCATAGCCCTGATCAACCCCACTCCCCCCTTCTCTCCCCATAGCCCTGATCAACCCCACTCCCCCGCTCTCTCCCCATAGCCCTGATCAACCCCACTCCCCCGCTCTCTCCCCATAGCCCTGATCAACCCCACTCCCCCGCTCTCTCCCCATAGCCCTGCAAACTTGTCCTCCCCAAATATCTATCCAACAACAACAACAACAAAATGACATTTACACGACACCTTTCATGGCGGGAGGATGTCCCAAGGCGTTGGACAGAGAAGAGTTACGGACCTGAGCTGGGGGTCGGGATCGTGGAGGGTGTAGGACGGGGGGGTGGGGGAAGCAAGGAGATCGAAAGCACGGTCGAAGAGGAGGGTCTAGTGATGGGCCTTGATGGAGGCAAGGGAGGGGGCGAGGGAGGGGGACTGTGGGATGGAGTTCCAAAGCGTGGGGGGGGTCACAGGCCGAAGGTGGGGCTGCCGAGGCAGGTGGACATGAAGCGGATGTGTGTGCGTGTGTTGTGCCTTCAAGCTGTGATGTTTTCTCTATAGGACAACCAAAACTGGCAAACTCTGTGCCAGTTAAACAATTGTTTTAACTGTCGCCAGCTATGCCAAGCTCTGGCCAATACAACAATCGTATACAACAACAGGATAGCGCCCCAGAGCACTTGACAGTGGCGGAGTCTGACAGTGAGACTGAGGGGCGAGGGGGGGAGAGAGAGAGAGAGAGAGAGAGAGAGGGGGGGGCGAAGGGAGAAAGAAAGTCGGGGGGGATGTGATCGGAAGCACGATCGATAAGGATGGTCTTTAGACGGGATTTGAAGGTGGGGAGTGAGGGAGAGAGGGAGGAAGGGAGAGCAGGAGGGAGGGGGTGTTATTCCTCAGGGATGTGAACCTGGAGAGTAGCGAGAGACAGACATACCTTGTTAGAAGCCAGGTACTCCATGCCTCGGGACACCTGGTAAGCGCAGGAAATGAGCTCCTTGAACGAGAGCTGCTCATCGGGAATGTGGTTGGGGCAATAATCCATCCCAGGAGGGCGTCGAGCTCGCAGGTATTCCCGGAGGTTGCCCTTCGAGGCAAATTCCACAATGACATACAACGGCCCTGTAGAAAAGTGTTCAAAGTCAGTCATGCACCTTTCTCATCCTGCATCAAATTCGTCTGCAAAACACACAGTCACTGCACTTTACAGCGCGTCCCTGTGATGCGCTTTGAAACGTCTCGAGGACCTGATAAGGCGCTGTGTCAAATGCGAGGATTATTATCATTATTATTCTTAATAACTCGTGCAGCCATTGCATCGCATTCTTCTCTTAGAATAATAATAATCCCGGCATTTGACCCGGGGCCTCATCGCATCTTCGAGACGTCTCAACGCGCTTCACAGGACACACTGTAAAGTGTAGTGACTGTGTGTTTTTGCGAGTGAAACGCGGCAGCCAATTGCGCACAGCAGCGTCCCCCACAAACAGCCGTGGGTTGAGTGACCAAATTATTATCATCACTATTATTTTCAAAAGGCATTATTACTGCCCGGAAAAGCCATCCGCCAATCGACTGACCCGCCCGGGAAGCGAACCCGGGTCTCTCTCTCTCGCTTGCGAGGCGAGGGCTCTAACCCCTGAGCTACAGGGCTTCTGAGGGGATGTGTCGAAGCAGTTGAGTGACGCGAGCAAACTTTCTGCCGACCGGTGACCTTCACTGACGCCTGACTAAGTGGCACCGTCACTCACCGTCCTGTGTACACGCTCCCAGCAGGTTGATGATGTTCTTGTGTTTCCCGATCATCTTCATCATCTCCATCTCTGAGATGAGGTCTGACAGGTCCTTCTCTGTGGCATCAGCTGAAAGCACAGGAGATAATAATAGTAATAATAATAATACTAATACTAATAATCCTTGCTGGGGGTTGGGATCAGGAGGGGGTGGAGGGCTGGGGAGGGTGGGGGTGGTCGGAGGGTGACCGGAGGCACAGTTGGTCGAATAGGAGGGTCTTGAGACGGGCCTTGAAGGAGGCCAGGAAGGGGGCAAGGCGGAGGGGCTGTAGGATGGAGTTCCAGAGGGTTGGGGGGTGCAGAGAGGCTGAAGGCCTGACCGCCGATGGTGGGGAGGGTGGGGGGGGACATGGAGCAGGCCGGAGCCCGCTGAGCGGAGGGAGCGGACGGGTGGATAAGGGGTTAGCAGGTCGGAGAGGTCAGAGGGGGCAAGGCTGCGGAGGGCTTTGAAGGAGATGTGTGCAGGGCGGTGAACTCGATGGGCCTTGGGCTTTTTTTCTCATCTGGCATTTCCTGTGTCCTTATCGGTATCACTTACATTTCAACATCTTCACGGCCACCGTGATGGGTTTGCTGAGCTTATCCTTGTCAATGCCAATCGTTTCTCCCAACACAACCTGTCCGAAGCAGCCCTCGCCAAGAGGTTTACCCAACATCAGCCTGAGAGGGGAGCAAGAGAAGCACTCAGTAAAGCAGCGCAGTGACTGTAGTGAGGAGTTCCCTGGAGCTCGGTGGCTAGAGCCCTCGCCTCGCCAGCGAGAGGGGACCCGGGATTTTTGCTGAATGGACGGTCTGCGATGGGAGAGACTGGCAGAGTGATGGCAGGGGAGAGAGTGTCAGAGTGATGGCAGGGGAGAGACTGGCAGAGTGATGGCAGGGGAGAGACTGGCAGAGCGATGGCAGGGGAGAGACTGGCAGAGCAATGGCAGGGGAGAGACTGGCAGAGCGATGGCGGGGGAAAGACTGGCAGAGCAATGGCAGGGGAGAGACTGGCAGAGCGATGGCAGGGGAGAGACTGGCAGAGCAATGGCAGGGGAGAGACTGGCAGAGTGAAGGCAGGGGAGAGACTGGCAGAGCGATGGCAGGGGAGAGAGTGTCAGAGTGATGGCAGGGGAGAGACTGGCAGAGCAATGGCAGGGGAGAGACTGGCAGAGCGATGGCGGGGGAAAGACTGGCAGAGCGATGGCAGAGGTAATTTCATGTCCCAGGAAATCCTGAGCCAAAATCCAATTCTAATTTCCGCCCATTTCTTGGCAGACTGAAGGCCGTATTCCTCGGGGCTTTCTTGCGTTGCCCCCCCCACCCCGCAGACATAGTCTGCATTACGGGGGTTCAGCATCCTTGCCCCCCAACACTCTGGAAATCTACCCCACGATCCCTCCGTCTCACTTGCCCCCCTACTCTTGCCTCCTTCAAGTCCCGTCCCAAGACCTTTTTCTTCGACCGCGCCTTTGGCCACCCTCCCAGCCCCAACCCCTCTGCCCTCCACCCCTCCTGAACCCCAACTCCCAGCTCAGGCCTCCCCCCGAATAAACCCCCTGACCGTCCAGCGCCCCCGGGACGTCTTTCTTTCCGACGTGAAGAGGGCGCTGCGCGAGCCTAACATCACCGTCGCTGCGGTTGAACTCACTTATCTCTGGAGAACTCCCAGTGCGGATCTTCGGGCAGCTCGTACTCCGAGACCCCGGCCAGCATTGGGGTCCCGCTGGAAGAGTGGCGGGTGGTCCTCACCAGCAGCACCCCCGAGTGCATCGAGGAGCTGGAATCCACCGAGACCTGTGGTGGGAGAGCGAGAGACCGGCAAACAAAAATGCTGCTGGTTACAGTCTGCGAGAAAATCCTGCGGCACAAACACTAACACCGTCAGCAAACACGACCCTTAAAAACACTTCCGGTCCAACGCCTTTCCTTCCCTGGTTGGAAATCCTCATTCGGGACCTACCGTTTGGCTAAAAGTACCTTTCTCCCCCCCACCCCCACCCCCCAAACGGTGGTGATAATTTACACACATACACACGCAATTGCACGCACACTCACGCACGTACTCAAACACGCACGCACACCCACAAGCGCGCACACGTCTCTGTTGGCGCTTCTAAAATACGCTTCTCCCGATACTGCCCCTCGATTCAAATCCGCCCGCAATGCCCGGAGCAACGCCCGTTTGCGCTCGAGCGACTGAGTCGCGAACGGAGACGGGGAGATTGGGAAGTGGGGAGTGAGAGGTTTCCCAAGAACACCGTTAGCCCCCGAGAGAGAGGAGGGGAGAAGAACAGCGAGACTGGCACTTAAACTGCCTCTGTTAAAGCCACCATCACCTCTCTCTCTCTCCATGTTGTTCCCCCTCCCCAGCAGCCCCTCTCCCTCCCCCCCCCCCACTGCCCCTGGTGGAGTTTCCTGTGGCTCAGTGGTTAGAGCTCTCGCCTCGTAAGCGAGAGGACCCGGGTTCGGTTCCCGGGCGGGTCAGGGCAAAACATTGGGTAAGTTTGTTTACTCTCCCCACCTTCCCCCCCCCCCACACACACACCCCCCCCACACCCCCACCAGCAGTCAGTAGGAACCCGGTTGTTAGTCGATTAGCAGATCGCTTTCTAGGGGTAATAACCCCTTAAATAGCAACAATAATAATTTGGTCACTTCAACCCACGGCTGTTTGTGGGGGAACGCTGCCGTGCGCAATTGGCTGCCGCGTTCCGCCCACAAAATACACAGTCACTACACTTTGCAGTCCGTTCCGTGAAGCGCCTGTGAAGGCGTGATAAGGCGCTGCTTCGCAGGCGAGGATTATCATTGATTGTTTGGTTGCCACAAATTCAGGACTTGCTCGTATCGGGTCAATATTAGGTCTTCAGAAACCACTCCATTATGATGAAGCAATAAAGACTCTTGGAAAGTGTCCTTCACCTCACCAGCTCACTCCAGCTCCCAGCGAGACACAGAAGTGCCACCTGAACCGTTCCCCTGTGTCAGTTTCTATTGACTTGACTATATTTTACACTAAACTCTCACGTGGAGCAAAGCGGAGGCTGCAAAGTGGACCTAAGTCTCTCTCTCTTACACACAACAGCAACCTGTGGCCACAATACCTACCTGCATCTGCTGCCTGCCCCTGAAAGCGATTATACCTGCAAGCGAGGAGAGACAGGAGAAGCACCTATAACCTGGTAAAGTACTGAGACATCTTCTGTCCTCCCGAGATGCTCTTAGTTCTGTGTAGAAGCAGCTTCTTGGTTGGGAAAGATTACGTTTACCTGACAGTTTCGGACACCAAACAGATCACCGCACAACTTGCCCACCCACCGAGGACGATCTTACCTGTCAAGGGCTCTGTCTCCCAAACTGTCTCGACAACGCGCTAAGGCGATATATTATAAAATGTAAGGACTGTCGTTGGATCCACAAGCCTCGTAGATGAGCCTAGGGTCACTTATGGAGGGTGACTGGGTTATTTTTCTCAACGCCAGTTCTTTCTCGAAGGAGGTTAGGGTTTTTTGAGGTGGTACTTAGCTGAATCATAGAACCTTACGGCTGTAACCTTGTCCTCCGGTTACCGACCCACCCACCCACCCGCCAGTTTCTCCCCTATATACTCCTCATCATCAAAACCCCTCCTAATTTTGAACCGCTCTGTTAAAGCTCCCCTTCAGCTTCCAGCAGAAACGTAAGTACATTCATTGACTCTCATTTGTTTCAGCTGCGCAAATTGGCTTTGAGCCACTGATACGATCAGTCTCTCAGCCCCACACACAGCGTACTGTGCGGTAGCCAAGCAACTTAACGTCAAGTAACAGCACTGGAACACGGGTTTAAAAATAGAAGTGCAAATTGTATAAAAACCCAATTCCACCACATTACTTCGCCCACAAAACATACAGTCAATTCGCTTTACGGTATATTCTGTGAAGCGCTTTCGAGACGTCTCGAAGACGTGATCAGGCGCTGTATCAAATGCAAGGATTATTATTATTATATTATTACGATAACTACTTCCAGTAGATATTAGCTATTGCTTTGTCCCAAGGAGAGATGAAAGGAGACCGTAAGATAATGTGCGGTGCCTTCAGATACCTTAACGGGTCTGAATAAAAACTTGGGAGAAAATATATTACCCACTCGCTCACTGCTCAATATAGAGGGAAACCACAAAGAAATAACAGAATTTCTACCCTTAATGCAGCGCTCTCGCAGTGATAGAAGAACATAAGAAATGTTAGGCCAAAAAATTACCAAGGTCCATCTACGAGGTCCTTGTGGAGTCCTGCAGCTCAGTGGTTAGAGCCCTCGCTTCACAAGCGAGAGGACCTGGGTTCGATTCCCGGGCAGGGCCAAACCTTGGGCAAGTTTCCTAACTCCACCCACACACACACACACTGATAATAATCCCTCAAAAAACAAAACCGCTTTTCTGGGGGCGATAATCGCGAAGAAACAACTAAAAAATAATAATAATTTGGTCACTTCAATCCGCGGCTGTTTGTGGGGACGCTGCTGTGCGCAATTGGCTGCTGTGTTTCGCCCACAAAATGTACAGTCACTTCACTTTATTATTATTAATATTATTATATTATTAAGGATTATTATTATCTCGTTTGCCTTCCACCCTGGTGGTCCCATACACATATGTCCTGATCCGTCTGTGTACTATCTAACTCCCATAATGTTATTTCCTAAATCTATCTATTCCGCGTTGGAAGGAATTACCATTTCCTGCTTCAACCGTTTCCCGAGGGAGGCTGTTCCACAGCTTTACTAATCACTCACTGAGATGTGAGTGTTTGGACTGTCGGGAAAATACTGCAGAGTTCAACAAGAACTCTGGACCCTTGTTTCAGTGCCCATTCACAATCAGGTTATTTATTCACTGTCAACAAGGGAGAGATCTTCATACATTGGTTCAGTGGCCTCTTATTTGGCAGACAACAGGGCATATGTGAGAGCAAGGGGTTGGAGGGGTGGGGGAGGGAGATACGTTGGGTTTCCTTGGAGCTGAACTGGCCCCAAGGTGACCTGCCCGGCAATGAAATGTCAGCCTCGAGCCCCCTCCTCTGTGCCGGTCTCGAGCCCCCGGTTCCTGAGCCGGGAGGGGCCGCGGTGTCCCAGGGCACTCGCTGCTGATGGCAGCACAGCCCGGCCCGGCTTATCGGCAGGACCTGGAAGGGCCGACCAGTCACTGGGGGCCGGGAATCCTCCCGCTCAGCTCCTGGTAACCCCACAGCCGAAGCCCTAACTAACTAATGGGGAGGGGGGGTCTGAGCCGGACAAGCAGTGGGAAAGCTCGGCCAGACAGTGCTCTCGCCAACCTGCGCCTAATAATCTCCGGAATTTGGTAAGCAGTGTGCATTCCTCCAGGGAGAGAGAGAGAGAGAGAAAGCGAGAGAGCGCATCCCATCCCAACAATCTAACTCTAAGACGCAGGGAATTCTCAGTTGGGTTTGGAGAATCTTGAGCAACGGTGACAGGTTTCCGTGTGGGTCTGACCCACAACCCCCCCCACCACCACCCCGACTGCCCGAAAACGAAGGAGCGCTGCCGCGAGCAAAAAAAGGGTTTTTGAACTCTTTATCTACTTTCTGTTACCTGTCTGCGGAGGGGAATGCTCTTAGCCAACTTGTGCACAGCCAGTTGGCTGTTGAAGTCGGGTTTCTTGGCTGTGCTTTTCATGCGGATGATCACAGCCACGACCACCATACAGCTCGTCAGGAAGGCTCCGGTGCAGTAGATGATGATTTCCAGGTAGACGGGGGAGGACAGAGTAGACGGTTTATCTTCTATGGCTGAGCAAGTCAGAAGAAGAGGTCAATCGAAGAGACACCTGGCCAAATGTTTCAATAGAAATAGCCATCCCGTGGGATGTGGTACGTACACAGACTCTTAACACAACAATCAATGGATTTAATCAGCGTTAAAATCTCCCGAAACATCGAATTGGTCTTTTTCTTGTTGTTATGAAGACATAAAAACGCTGTTCTGTGAGCCCTAAAATGCCCCAACATTGCACATCGTGTTTTTGTTTGTTAATCCCGAAACAATTGTTTCTCCTGAAGTTTCGCCCACAAAACACACGGTCAATTCACTTTACAGTGTATCGTGTGAAGCGCTTTGAGACGTCTCGAAGACGTGATCAGGCGCTGGATCAAATGCCGGGATTATTATTATATTATTATTATTATTATAGCTGCTTGGTTTGGGTGAAGGCACCAGCAATGTTTACTACCGTTTAATTCCATCTTTCATACCATTGAACTTTCCACCAGTTTAATTTTTTTCGGGCAAAGGGGGAGGTGGGAGAATAATTCTCTTTCTCAGGCTGAGCCTTATATTGACGCTACGATTGGGGGGGGGGGGGGGGGGGGAGGGGGTAGTGAGTGTGGTGTGGAGGAGTTCGGGAAGAATGAAGGGCCTTTGTGGACCAAAACTGATCTTCTGAACACCCTCGCACTTCAAAGCCGCCTGAAGAGTGGGACAATCCTGAAGGAAGCTTTGAGAAGTCCTCCCGATGTGAGAGAGGGCCCTTCAAATATCTCTTGCAAGGAATTCTTATGACTAACACACTCGCTTGTCCCTCGACAAAGGGCAAATGTGGTTCGTAGAATGGGCTGTGTGCGGTAGCCTTAATCGCTGGTGTTAGAGTGAGTCCCACTTAGCCCATCAGTTCACAAACTCTGCTAATTTGGCAATAACACGAGTAGCATTTTTTAAAAATATATATATATATGACTGATATTAGAATAAATGAGATACTGTACCTGACTATGAGAGTTCAAAACCCATTTAGCGACTTAGTGTAAAGCATCTCTTCTCTTGCGGTAACAACTCAAGTTCTCTATTTGCAATTACTCTCTCAGCACAGACCGAACGCACGCAGTGCAAGCTTATTGATTCAAACACAAGACACAATGCATACACAGGCACCTAACGTTCGCCCCCCCCACCACCCCCGCCCGACCCCAAACCCACCCCCCACACCCCCTCCCTCCTATCCCCTCAGCCCTCCCCACTCCCCTCACCCCACCCTAGCTTCTGCCTCGCACCAGCACAAAGATATCAAAGTGAAACGCCCAATTCGGAAGAGATGTCGACTCAAATGAACCAACCATTTGGTCTGAAGGTCCCTTGACAGTCAGGCAAGAGTGATTAAGACCACTGATAATTGTGGAAGTGTTTTGTCTGTAGCCTGCAGTGACAACTTCCGATTGCCGCCAATTATCAGCCCTTGCCAAATTAATCCCTTGATGGGACTTCCGCCTGAACGGAAGTGACATCAGCGGAACATGCCCACGCAGGGGCATGCCAGTGCAGCAAGCAGGTGGGTCAGTTTGTAGAGATCATGCAAACAAAAACAAAAACCAAACCAAAAACAAATGACCCCAAAAGAAACCCATAAAATCCGTAAAGTTTTTTTTTCCCCTCAAAAAAACATGTTACTTCAAGGCAAACGCGACTGCCAAAGTCAACCTGTCTGCCAGGGCATGAGACAGTAGGGTTCGAATCGATGGGTGTTGGGCTGAGAGCCAGTCTTTTACATTTCAAGAGGGATTCGAGAGGGAAAAGACTTGAATGGCAGTCAGTTTTGGGTCTGATTCAGGCGATGGGTTTGGTTTGACGGCAGGATTCCAGTTTGCATTGGAGTTTTGGCACTGCTTCTCAACACAAGGAGCTACTCCTGATTACCGAGTGTAAAACCGGGACTGTTTTGACTGATTGTATCTCGAAGATGTGATAAGGCGCTACATCAAATGCAAGGATTATTATTATTATTATTATTGGTACAATTTGGAATAAAGAATATTGCCCGTGGGCTGTGCTATTTATCATCGACCTCACAATACTGAACTCACAACTACTTGGAATTTTACAGAAGGTTTATAAACTACCTTCCCCCCCAGATCCCCCCAAAGAAAGATTTAATTCCCAAACCCTGAAACTGAGCCAGTCCGAATTTTCGGTTTAATTTGCACTCTCCTCATTGTCTATTGTGACTTAATTGGACCGACATGTCAGTTGCCTATATGTTTAACCTAAGCCCACTCTCTGATCTGCGTTCTTTCCAATTTCTTCCAACAGATAATATCCCTTACTCCAGGTTTAACTGAAGTCTGAGTCTCTGATGTGTCCATAACCCATAGCACCAGCTGATAAATTTGGTCACTCAACCCATGACTGTTTGTGGGGACGCTGCTGTGTGTAATTAGCTGCCGCTTTTCGCCCACAAAACATTCGGTCAACTCACTCTACGGTATACCATGTGAAGCACTTTGTGACGTCCTGAAGACATGATAAGGCGCTGTATCAAATGCCAGGATTTTTATTATATTATAATGCAGAACGCTGTAGACGTTCAAAGCCAAAGATTGAGACTGCATCAGCTGTGTTTTGAGTTGCTTTTATTCGGAGATTTGACCAGCTGGTCTATTCACTCAGTCACAATACCACAGATGGATAAAGGTTGACAGGCATTAGGTGTGGCTTTGAAAAGCATCACCTCGTCTCTTAATTAGAAGTCCACAAGAAATATTGTTCGGACATTGGCAAATTTTTCATAGAATCATAGAATTATACGGCACAGAAGAAGGCCATTCAGCCCATCGTGTCTGTGCCACTCTTTGGAAAGAGCTTCCAACTCCCCCGCTTTCTCCCCTTCTCCCCATAGCCCTGATCAACCCCACTCCCCCGCGCTCTCCCCATAGCGCTGATCAACCCCACTCCCCCGCTCTCTCCCCATAGCGCTGATCAACCCCACTCCCCCGCTCTCTCCCCATAGCGCTGATCAACCCCACTCCCCCGCTCTCTCCCCATCGCCCTGATCAACCCCACTCCCCCGCTCTCTCCCCATAGGCCTGATCAACCCCACTCCCCCGCGCTCTCCCCATAGCCCTGATCAACCCCACTCCCCCCGCTCTCTCCCCATAACCCTGATCAACCCCACTCCCCCGTGCTCTCCCCATAGCCCTGATCAACCCCACTCCCCCTGCTCTCTCCCCATAACCCTGATCAACCCCACTCCCCCGCTCTCCCCATAGCCCTGATCAACCCCATTCCCCCGCTCTCTCCATAGCCCTGATGCTGTTGCGTAATTGCCAACGCCTAATGCCCGGTGACCAAAATCATTCATCATTCATGCTTGCGAAAAACCATTGCCTTTGTCTGTGACGTCTGCTGAGATTTCCTGTCATTCCGAGTTATTTCCCCTTTTATGACAAAAGTCACTCGATCCACACAGTACTTTGAAGTGCGTCTTCCTGGAAAGTGCCAAACATGAGCTCGAACGCTGGGTTTTGAGCAACTTCATGGAATCATACAATTGTGCAACACAGAAGGAGACCATTCGGCCTATTGTGTCTGTGTCGGCTCTTTGAAAAGAGCTTCCAAATCAACCCCACTCCCCCGCTCTCTCCCCATAGCCCTGATCAACCCCACTCCCCCGCTCTCTCCCCATAGCCCTGATCAACCCCACTCCCCCGCTCTCTCCCCATAGCCCTGATCAACCCCACTCCCCCGCTCTCTCCCCATAGCCCTGATCAACCCCACTCCCCCGCTCTCTCCCCATAGCCCTGCCAACTTGTCCTCCCCAAATAATGATCTACTTCTCTCTTAAAAGTAGTTATCGAACCGGCTTCCGCTGCCCTCATATTTCACAGAGCAATGCCATGGTTGTGGCGATCGGAATCGGTTCGGTTTTTATGACCCTGCTTTCATGAGTCGCTCCTGGTTGTAGAAGCAATGGGTGTTGTGGGGTTTTGCACGGGAAGGGGGGGGGTGGGGGGGAGGGGGTTGGTTAATGGTAGAGAGACAAAGAGCAGTTTGTACCTGGAAGAACTGTCAACCATGCAGAGTGATGGGAAATCCCAATAGAGTTACCCGCCAAACACGTATACTCCCCAGCATCCTCAAAAGTTACATTCCGCAAATACAGAATCTCCATTTCCTTGTCTGTGGTATTAACACCAGCCGTCTAGAAGAGAAAACGAAAGCAAACGGACAAAGGAGACCATGTAAAAACTCGACAGATTCAGCCTGGGAGAAACCATCTTTGATTAGTCTCGTTTGCCCATCCCCCAGGGAGGACGAGAGAAGAGGCGTGGGGGTGTGGGTGGGTGTGTGTGTGTGTGTGGGTGAGGGGGGGTGTTAAGGCAGTTCCCAATTCACCTTCCAGGACCACAGGAGCTCAGACGTACCGTACGTACCCTAGGAAGCAAAAAGGTCTTTAAATGGATGTTAAACCCGCCACCATTTTGGTTTTATTGCACCCATCTCAACATGCGAGCGATGGGATTCATGGAGAAAAGTAAACCCACAATGTTTGGGAACAGTCAAGATTCGGAAAAAATCCATGGAAAAGGAGGCACATTCAAAATAACAGTGGGAGGCAATTTATCCCATGGCCCTTGAAAGTTACAGACCACTCTAACTTGACTTCTCATCTGTTTCCATTGAGTCGCTCTAAAGGCTTTAGTATTTGGCCACACTCAATGTTGCACCACACAATGCATTTTATCCCCTGTCCGTACATCTCACTCAGTTCAATTTGTTTGGCCTCAGCCTCGGAATAAAAGCGTCCCACTGTACGAGATTGGAAATCCAGACAAAAACAAGACAACTGTGTACTGAATCCACAGCAATAGGAAGACAGGAAAGAAACAAGACAGACAGTCAAACAGTCTCGTTTGCCAATGGGACTCAACTCAAATAAAATCCTGCCTGGAAACTGCAGCGCACAGGTTCAACTTTTCAACTCAACGTTGGCTGCTGTGTAAATATTGGGCGGTTTCGCTATCTTCGAACAGAAAAATCCCGTTCCTTCTTCCAAGGAAATCTCTCTGTTCTTCACTCCTTTCCTCTCTAAGTGATCGGGCTCGGTAGGACACACTAAAAGCTCTTTCTAAGGGAAAGAGAGGCCTAAGAACCATCAAGTCTGGCCTAAATGTGGAATAATAAACCCGTGAAATATAATATAAAAGCGTTGTGAGACGTCTCGAAGACGCGATAAGGCGCTATATCAAATGCAAGGGTTATTATTATTATTGCTTCACTCAAAGGGCAAGGGGGAGCCCGACAATGTGGAGGACTGAGTGCAAAATGCACCTCGACAGCGCTTAGGGAGTTGGCCGGTTATTTCTTTCCAAGAAAATACGTGGAGAACCTTTCTCCCCTAACCCACGCAGCATTTTAGCGTTGAAAATGTTGATAAATCAGCAAGTGGGTCAGTTTCAACGGTGGCTAAAAGTTTCTGGGCAGTTTTTTTGTTGCTGCTGTCCACGGCAAAAAAAAAAGGAACCTTGTTATTGTGATATAATTCAGTCTTGCCACAAAACGATGGATCTCCCATCTCAGATGAATCTCACTGGCGTCGAATCCAACGGCTGACAGACTAGTTATTACCTGCCCAGCCCAACTCAGCTCGGATTAATGCAGAATAGAGACAACCAGGTCTTGTGGCTTGAATTCCTAGTATAGCTGAACGTATACCGCAAATTACAAGCAACGTTTCGCATCTGCCTTGCTCCTCTTCCAGACTCAAGTCTTGCACAGATTCCTCTAGTCCTTCGAAGCTAGCGAAATAGTGTCTTCGTACCTTAAATGAGTCAATAAACCCACGGTTGTTTGCGGAGACGCTGCTGCCCGCTAATCACGCAGCCAATTCGCTTTACGGTATATTCCCGTGAAGCGCTTTGAGAGACGTCTCGAAGACGTGATAAGGCGCTAGATCAAATGCAAGGCTTTATTATTATTATTATTATTATTATTATTAAATGCTCTACTCAATTGCCGGGTCAAAAATCGGGTGTGAATAAACCAGAATAATAGGGTGGATTTTCCTGGGGCTCAACTTATTATGTATAACAGCCGTAAATTCCCTTATATATTGTTTTCACCTGCAAGATCCCAGTCTAACCCCCTGATCCCACACCGGGCAGTATCTGTGACCTACACGTGAAGCCCAAACACAGGCCGGGAGAGAGAGAGAGAGAGAGAGAGAGGAACCTTTTGAGGTAAGTCACACACAGAGAGAGACGACAAGGGAGACTGACACCAACAGACAGGACCTCACAAGCAATGCAACACGACACACAGACGCAGACACTGTTCGGTTACATTGTGGGCATTTTTCCATGCGTACTTCTGATTTTCTTTTGCACATAAACAGGGGGAAAAAAAAGGGGTAGAGAACAAAAGGTTTGAAACGTAGCCTCTCCCTGGTAGTAAATGGAGTATCTTGACCCATTCATTGCTCACAGCTAAGAGTTCCCAACCCCTTTTTTTGTGGCTTGTTTTCTGGCTTTTACCTTCTGCCTTTGGCCTGAGGACTTTGAGCCAAGCAGATTGATTGGCCTCACCAATATAATTGGAAACTTTACAAATATACTGTCCGCTGTCAGCTTCGGTCACATTGTGCAGTGTCAGAACTTCCACATCTGAGCTATTAATCCCCGAATGCTAGAAACAAAAAACCAATAACAGAGGAGAACATTGATAGAGCTGCAAATAAATTTAAAAGAGACTTTGAATGAAACGCAACATACATTGGGTTCATTTTCCCACGACATTGGAGGCACAGGCAGAAGTCGTCGAACTTGGGCCCCTTCTTCCATTTGACGCTCAGGAACCCAGAGCGTAATAATAAAAAAAGACATTGCAGCGATCGAAGTGGGGGTTAAATTCAGAACCAACCTGGAGAAACTATTTCAGTGGGAAACACACGGAACAGGCTCCCGAGGGGGAGACAGTGGAAGCAGAAGACGTCATGGGTTTCCAGAACAAACGAGATAAGATTTCTGCTGGAAAATAATCTCTCGGGGGATAAAACGGAATACAGTTCGGGGGACATGACATGTCAAGCCAAGATGGTGGAACTGGATGGAACTCGGTCTCCTTTCGCCCAGCAAATCCTTATGTTCCTATCGGAAAGTTTGCAAGCACCGAGGAGCACTCCGGGAAGAGCTTACCAGCCAAGCGAGATGGCTTCACCCGTATCACTGCGCAGTGATAGATGTACAATACATCTCCGGGACTCGTTAGCCAGTGAGTAGCTCCTGCAGTGCAAAAGTGGCTGAACCATTTTCCCCATTGTAATGGTGAGGTGCGGGGGCGGGGGTGGGGGTGGGGAGGTGTGGGGTGGGGAGAGAATTAATTGCCCTAGCTCCGAAGTAAGACGAGAAAACAATTAAGGATCTGGCACTTTTACAATTCCTCCATCTGAAAAACACACGCTCTCGTTTATTTATATAAAAACCCTTCAAAACGTCAAATACACTTCGAGGGTATTGTGCCTTCGGCCATTTTTCTCCACTTTGTACAAAGTTAGTTGGACTCGGGATGTCCTGGAGCTCAGGGGCCATGCCCTCGCCTCGCAAGCGAGAGGACCCGGGTTCGATTCCCGGGCGGGTCAGGTCAGGGCGAAATGTGGGGCAAGTTTCCTTACTCCCCCCCCACACACACGCCTGTGTTTACCAGCAGTCTGTGGTTGTTAGTCGATTGACCAATCACTTTTCTGGGGGTAATAATCCCTTCCAAAAGAATAATAATTCGGTGGCTTCAGCCCACGGCTGTTTGTGGGGGACGCTGCTGTGCGCAATTGGCTGCCACATTTCGCCCACAAAATACACAGTCACTACACTTTACAGTGCATCCTGTGAAGCGCTTTGAGACGTCTCGAAGACGTGATGAGGCGCTGTGCCAAATGCCGGGATTATTATTGGTATCGTTGAATGGCTGTTGTCCTGTGTGGTTTGGCTTTCTCTAAAAGCCGTGCGTGCCCTCGTTCAGCTGCACAAAGTGAGGGGGGGGGGTCAAAGGTCTGATCCGTGTGAGAACTGTGTCAATCGTTGTACTTACCGCCAGCAACACGCCTAAAACATGGGTACCAAAACACGCGCTTCCTTCCAAAAGAACCCGGCACTTCACACTCTCCAGCGGGAGACATTACCGAGAGAGGCCGGAGCGAGGGACAGTGTGTGGCTGTGACCTCCTAACCCATGGTGGGGTGGGGGGGGCAAAACCCGAGGATATTTACCTTGAGGACCTGGACATAAGGCGATCCGTCAGGACCCACTCTGCTCCCGTTCACGTCCACGTGTTTCAGCCACTGGATGTGTGGCTGAGGATCGCTGTAGACTTTGCACTCGAATTCCACGTCGGTTCCCACCACCACGCTCCTGTTGGCCGGCAGACCAGCCTGCAGGATAGGCCGATGAGGGGAGCGCTCTGGAAATAAACCCCCAAACGTTCTTAGTAAGCCAGCGCCAGGCGCCCAGCGGCGTCACGAGAAGCGCTCGTTGTCGTTACCGAAGGGTAAAACGTTGAGCTGCTTGAGTTCCGCGATGGGATTGGGCCTAATTTGGCGTTATAACTCGGTGTTAAGCGATCAAAAAAGGAAGGTCAACACCCTGCCTTTAGCCACTGCGCCCCGAAACTCTTGTCACTCTCTCCGTCAACCCTCTGCCTTGCCCCCCCCCCCCCCACCCCCCCTCCCTCCTTACTTTCAAATCCCACCTCGCCCACAAATATACAGTCAATTCACTTTACAGTGTGTTCTGTGAAGCGCTTTGGGACGTCCTCCCGACGTGAAAAGCGCTATATCAAATGCAAGGATTATTATTATTATTATTATTTGTGATGGTGTAACACCAAATGAATCCCATCGCATGGCGCGGAACTCAACCAGCTCAACCTTTACCCCTCGGGTGAACGACGACAATAACAACAACAACAATAACAACGACGGCGACGACGACGAATGCTTTTTCATGTTGGGAGGACGTCCCGAGGCTCTGGATTGCAAAGGTTTCTATGGAGCCTCGCGGTAGAGGGTTGAGGAATATTCAGTCACCACAAGGATTCCAAGACTTGTGAACGCTGTTGTAAATATTGGGGTTCAGCCCCTCTCTGTCTGTGTCGCTGGCGGGCTGCGTGCCCACAGCACACCATGCGCCCCATCACCCCAGCCCTCGCCAGGCTCCACCGGCTCCCAACCACCTCCCTCCCCACCTTCAAACCCAGCCTAAAGGCCTTCCTTTTTGGATCGTGCTCACGGTCCCAACCTCTTAAAATGTTTCAGCGATAATAATAATCCTTGCATTCGACACAGCGCCTTATCGCGTCGCTGGGACGTCTCAAAGCACTCCACGGAACGTGCCGTGTAACGTGTAGCAACTGTGCATGTCGAGGGCGAAACGTGCACAGCAAACAGTTGCGCCCACACCGTTATTTGCACTGCACGTGATTTAAATTTTTGTAAGAAAAAAAAAACCTCTCCCCGTCTTGGGAACCCTCTCCCCCCCACACCCCCCCCGCGCGCACCACCACCCGCTCCCCGCACTCTCCCTACTCCCAAAACAAACATGAGCGCGGGAGCGCACAGCAGCGCACAGGAGCAAGCCGAGAATTCCTAGGAAACCCGACTAAACACTGTGACGTATCGGGGACTCCTAAATTACGAGCGTTTTCAGGAAGTCAGTTTGTCCGAGCTGAGTGTTCCTGAGCTAAAACGTGCGCTCGCGTGTGCGCGTGTGTGTGCGCGTGTGCGCCCGCGTGTGCGCGTCTATCAATCTGTTGCTCACATCCGCCTTAAATTACACAGCGCACACTCGAAGTGCCTTCGATCCCTTTCCTTTCTTTTCCTCTTAGGGCCTCAACGGCTTCCTGTTCCTGCAAGCGATGGGGCCTGTCTTGGGGTGGTGATGGGGGGGGGTTGGGGGTGGGGGGGGGGTGGGGGGAGGAAAGGCACTTCGGTTTGAACACAATAATTAGGAGGCTGTCCAGCCGGCTCGAACGCCAGCCAATCCAGCCAGCCATCCTGGTTTCTTCCAGCGAGTTAAGTCCGAGCGAAAGAAAAAAAACAGCGGCATTTTAACCCTTCCGCCTCCCTTTTCCCGAAATCAACTTCTTTTCTTTGTTTGGGCTTTTGTTCTCGCAGCTCTCTCTCTCTCCCTCTCTCTCGCTCCGTCTGCCCCACATGGATCTAACCGCTATCAAGTGTCAGTCAGACATTCCACTCATTTCAAGATGCCTGGCCCGAGGGTTCAGGCAATTGCGAGGCGAGGTTGAGGCTGAGAGCACCACTGTTTCCTTCAATATAATAATAATCCGGTCGCTTCGAACCCCACGGCTGTTCGTGGGGACGCTGCTGCGGGCAATTGGCTGCCGCGTTTCGCCCACGAGCGCGTCCTGGCGAAGCGCTTTGAGACGTCCCGAGGACGCGATAAGGCGCTGCGTCAAATGCCAGGACTGGTATTATTATTGTTGTCGGTTCTCTCACTTTTTTTTAAGAGCACGAGCAGAACAGAGCGCACGCGATAATGAACGCAGACCCAGTATTTTGATTAAGCAGCAAATTAAAACCTGGCTTTATCAGCCGGACCGGCAGGATTTATAGCTGCTATTTCTGTGTCGGTCTTAACAAAGGTACTGCTGATGTAAATCATTCTCTCCCCCTACAGACCGCAGACTTGTGAGTTAACCCAGTCGCACATCTGAACTCTTGCGTACTCAATAAGCTCTTATTCCAAATGTCTTCACTTTGCAAATTTTGCTGCTTCCTCCCATTTATCAGCTGCTTTGCAGAGCGGGAGACCATTGGGGCTCGTGTGGCGTAAAAGAACTTACATTTTTATAGCGCTCCAACACATCTTTAAGCTCTTCATAATAGCTGCTGCCAAAGTGCACTGTTTTGCAGCCAAACTCAGCTGCCATTTATTTCTGAGCTTGTGAGGCTCCACCCGACAACCACCAGTGAACGGCCAATTTTATCTGGAGGATAGTAATAATCCTCGCGATTGATACAGCGCGTCACGGGATTACGCTGTAACGTGAAGTGACTGCGTATTTTGTGGGCGAAACGCGGCAGCCCATTGCGCACGGCAGCGTCCCCCACAAACAGCGACCAAATTATTATTATTTGGGGGGGAATTTGGAGGGATTACGAGCCCCGGAAAAAGAAAGCTTCCGCAAAAAAAAAAATGTAGGGGTTTCCCGTGAAAACGGTCGTCGTGCAAAACACTGTTTTTTTTTCTATTCTCACTGCGAGAACACAGTAAGTCTCAATTTTACTGAACACATCAAAGATCAATGAAGATACCCAAGTGAATTGCGCCCAATCGGCTGCCATATTTCGCCCACAAATTAAGCACGAGTGGTAATGAAACTGCGAGGTGATCGGAGGGCAAATGTTTTCTGAACCAAGGCGAGGTGAGCGACTGTCAAGGACAGAGAGAATTAACACCGTCACCACCTCACACTTTGTTCCATTAAGCAACGAATCCTTTCCGCGCCCTCTCTCAAATGAACCCGCGGAATCGGATCGAAAAATAATCACACATAAAAATAAGGTTAAATTGGTCCTTCGATCCAGGACTTGTTTGTGTGTGTGTGTGTGTGTGTGTGTGAGTATGTAAAAGTGTGTGTGTGTGCGCGTGTGTGTGACATTAAGTGTGTGTGCATGCGTGTGTGTGCAAGTGGGTGTATAAGTGTGGTGTGTGAGTGTGAGTGTAAGTGCGTGCGTGCGTGTGTGAGACTGCAAGCGCGTGTATGTGTGCGCGCGTGATTCCAACGCGATCCGACGCTCCGTTCGTGCGGCGTTTGCGCAGTCCAGTCAACATTAGAGCTGCGGATCAACACAATCCTTTTCTGAACGCTGACTCTTTCCAGATCAAACCTTTTGGGGGGAAATCTGACCGCAACACATCGGCAGAGAGGGGGAGGCGAGGGGGTGGGTGGGTGGTGGGGGGAGAGCGGCTGCAGGTTAACGAGGTTATTCTCTTACCCACGACATCCAGTTGGTAAGTGTGGTTGATGGTTCCATATTTATTCTCCACCACACAGGTGTAATTGGCTTTGTCCGATGGCACGACTCCTTCCATGATCAGACTCCAGTGCTGTGATCGGACCTTTGGAGAGGAATAAAATCATCCCATCAGAGAACTGTACAGCACGGAAGGAGGCCATTCGGCCCATCGTGTCTGTGCTGGCTCTCTTGTTACTCACTCAGTCACTCACTCAGTTACCAACTCGACACCTCCCTCCCTCAGTACCTCACTCACCCAGTCACTCACTCAGTACCTCACTCACTCACTCACTCACTCTCTCGCTCACTCACTCACTGACTCACTCACTCTCCTTAATTAATCAATCCCGTTAGAAATCAGCATACATTAAGCCCCAGTGTCTTCTTTGAGAGTGACAATAATTTGGTTAGAATCGTGGGTTAATTTGATAGTTGTCCAAATCCTGACTGCCCAGCACCCTGGGATGTCTTTCTGACATGAAGAGCGCTATACAGGTGTAATTGTTGTTGTTGTACATGTTTAGGTATAACTAAATACAATAAATAAGCTCTCGATATATCAGGCATCATACACATATCTGGGGATCATGGAGGGCCACTGTAATAAGAATAATCCTCGCACTTGACACAGCGCCTTACCACGTCTTCGAGATGTCTCAACGCGCTTCAAAGGATACACTGTAAAGTGTAGTGACTGTGCGTTTTGTGGGCGAAACGCGGCAGCCAATTGCGCACAGCAGCGTCCCCCACAAACAGCCGTGGGTTGAGCGACCGAATTATTATTATTAGAACTTTATTTTGAGGGGATTATTCTCCCCAGATCCGCCAATTGACTAACAACCGGGTTCCTACCGACCGCTGGTAAACAGAGGCGTGTGTGTGCGTGTGTGTGTGTGTGGGGGGGGGGGGGGGGGGGGGGGAAGGAAACTTGCCCAACGTTCCGCCCTGACCCGGGTCCTCTCGCTCGCGAGGCGAGGGCTCTAACCCCTGAGCTCCAGGGAACTCCACAAGACAAAACAAAAAGGGGGCAAACCACAATCTTGTGCGCGTTTACTAATCCGGATCGCTGGCCCGATCAGACTCAGGGGGGAAGCTCCGTACTGAATAGCTCTCCGTTTCCAGAGACCCGATTGTAAACGAAACTCAACGTCGTGTTACCTCCAGATAATCCCAAAACATTTGCTCTCTTTGACCCACCGGGGAAGAGAAGGGCAAAGAAAGGCCTTCGCGAATAACCTTGCCCTTTGCGTGAGGGATGGAATAATCTCTGTCAGCTGTTGCGGTGATAGCCTTGACTCCAGGGCAAACCGAATCCAAGCGTTTGAGCAGATGTTGCAAGAGCTTGCTGCTAGTCACCCTGGAACATCTGGTGTCAGCCATTTTGAGATAGAGGAGCCAACTCGGCCTTTCATCTCCCCGTAAATATATCCTCCGACCTTCCACTACGAAGCACGTTCACTGAATTATTTTCGTATCTGAACGAAAGACTGCGGACTCGCCCGCGGAATAAAGTCACAGGACATTCCGCATCCTGTGTCCTGCAGCTCAGGGTTAGAGCCCTCGCCTCGCGAGCGAGAGGACCCGGGTTCGATTCCCGAGTAGGTCAGGTCAGGGCGAAACGTTGGGCAAGTTTCCTTACTCCCCTCCCACCCCACACACACACACACACACACACACGCCTCTGTTTACCAGCAGTCCGTGGTTGTTAGTCGACTAGCGGATCGCTTTTCCAGGGGTAATAATCCCTTCAAAATAAAATATAACGCCTCATCGCGTCTTCGAGACGTCTCAAAGCGCTTCACAGAATAAACCGCGAACTGCAAACACAGCCCCGCAAACTTGTCCTCCCCAAATAACGATCTACTTCTCTTCTCTTAAAAGCCGTTGTCCAATCAAATGTATCACGGCAAATATTAAAAAAGAATAACAACAGCATCTGATCGATCGAAACCTCGGCCCCACAAAGTATAATAATCCTATCCCGTTTCCCCATTTCATTCCATACCGATTCGGTTCCAAGTTCTTTTCAAAACAGAAACAAATGCAAAATTACGTTTGTAAAGTGCCTTTCACGTCGAGAGGACGTCCCTCCCAAGGCGCTGGACAGTCAGGGAATAGGACCCCGAGCTACGGAGGGGGTGGTTGGGATCAGGGAGGGGTGGAGGGCAGAGAGGGTAGGAGGGCGACTGAAGGCACGGTCACAGAGGAGGCTCTTGAGACGGGCCTTGAAGGAGGTGAGGGAGGGAGGGAGGGAGGGAGGGAGCTGGGCGAAGGGAATGTGGGATGGAGTTCCAGAGGGGGTTGGGGCAGAGAAGGCTGAAGGCCCAACTGATGATGTATAACACAAAGATGTGCATTCCTCAGGGCAAAGACAGAGAGAGAGGATCCATTTTTCCTGAGTGACCCGATACCTGAGCCAACAGCGAGGCAGGGAAACCTAACACCTTTGCTGGAATGCAGACTGGTCTACCAGGCGTCAGGCAAACAATCCACTCAGGGGCCCTTTGAGATGATTCTTGGCCAACAAGAGAAGCTAAACTGTGAGTCCTAATATGCAAACAGACACTACTTGTCGGTCGGTCGACCCGGCAGAGAATAATTCAATTTATAGGTCGAACCCAAGATGGGATACATATGGATTTCATTCGGTTTTGACCGAGAAGATTTTACGATAATAGTAATAATTTGGTCTGTGTGACTGGACACTGCTGTGCGCAATTGGCTGCCGCGTTTCGCCCGCAAAATATATCACAATAATACGATACTAATCCCTCGCATTTGACACAGCGTCTGGTCACGTCTTCGAGACGTCTCAAAGCGCTTCACGGGATACACTGTCAAGTGTAGTGACCCTGTGTTTTGTGAGTTCACTTTACGGTGTATCCTGTGAAGCGCTTTGAGACGTCTCGAAGACGTGATAAGGCGCTGTGTCGAATGCCAGGATTACGTTGGTGTTGGTGGCCGGGATCGGGAGGGGGTGCAGGGCGGAGAGGGGGTAGGAGGGCGGGGTGATCGAAGGCGGGGTTGGTCGAAGAGGAGGGTCTCGAGACGGGGCTCGAAGGAGGGGGGGGGGTTGGGGAGGCGAGGCGGAGGGACTGCGGGATGGAGTTCCAGAGGGTGGGGGCAGAGAGGCACAATGGGGAAAGAGGAGGGGTGGCGGTGGGGGGTAAGACCAAGGGATTGAGGGAGGGAGTTCCATAGCTAAGCGAGGGGCATTCGCAGACTGTCGGACTACCTTGTATCCTCCGATCCGGTGATCTGGCTTGAAGTCCTTGCCGTTTTTCAGCCAGCGCAGGGTGGGGGTTGGGTTCCCCCCGGCTGCGCACCGGAACTTGACCGTTTTCATGGCTGGCACAGCATGAAGCTTCTTCTCCATCTTCTCTTGTTGGGCCCAGTACGGAGAACCTGTCGAGAACGCATTGCGGAGGCGTCAGCACCAGACTGAGATGGTTCACAGGTCTATATCGGTACGACTAGGGTCACAGAACACACACCGAGATAATAATAATAATAATAATAATAATCCTGGCGTTTGACACAGCGCCTTATCACGCCTTCGAGACGTCTCAAATCGCTTCACAGGATACACGGTAAAGTGTAGTGACTGTGTATTACGTGGGTGAAACGCGGGAACCAACTGTGCACAGCAGCGTCCCCCACAAACAGCCGTGGATTCAGTGACCAATTTTTTTTTTGACGGGATTATTACCCCCGGAAAAGCGATCCCCCAATCGACTAACAACCGGGTTCCTACTGACCCGCCCGGGAATCGAACCCGGGTCCTCTCGCTTGCGAGGCGAGGGCTCGAACCCCTGAGCTCCAGGGAACTCCACTAAAGGCTCTTAAGCCACCACAGAGACCGTCAGAGCCTCGAACGTCCTCGCAGTTAATTTTGAAACAGCTTCGAAACGCCAATCGATTGGAAACCACTTGGGCTTTTATTGAGTAGTGGGTTATTTATAGGCTTTATTTGTAGACCGTCTCTCTGGCCTGGAAATCGATGTGACCTGAGCAAAGCGAAGGCTGTAAGGTTGTATTTGTGATGCTTAATGTTTTTTAATTATATACGAAATATTAATTTCTACGCGTTAAGAATGTAACCCACCCATCACCACAACAACAACAACAGCAGCAGCAGCAGCAGCAACTTGCGGGACTTGGAAGAGGGGAGAGCGGGAGGGGGCGCGAGGCGGAGGGATTGAGGGAGAACGTGACAAGAGTTTCGGGGCGCGGCAGCTGAAAGCCCGACCTCCGATGGTGGGGCGGAGGGCGCGAGGGACGAGCAAGGAGGCCGGGGGGGCTAGTGAGCGGGTGGTGGAGTGGGGAGCGAGGAGGTCGGAGAGGAAGGGCGGGAGGTGCCGGGGGAGCGAAGGGATTTGAAGCCCTTTAATGAGGTCCGTTTGATTTAACGACTAGCTTATTAGCAGGGGTTAAATGTAGCTTCGCCGGACAGGTCGAGGTCAACTACTGATTAAAACGGCTACAGCTTCAGACAGCTGCGTATCTCAAGGCTGAAAAGCAAGTGTGGAAGGCTGCCCGGAAGTTGTCCATCTCTCTCTCGTTCCCTCTTTCTCCCTCTCTCTCTCTCTTTCGCTCTTTCTATCGCTCAACCCACGGCTGTTTGTGTGGGGGGGGGACGTTGCTGCGCGCAATTGGCTGCCGCGTTTCGCCCGCAAAATACACAGTCGCTGCACTTTGCAGTAGGTTCTGTGAAGCGCTTCGAGACGTCTCAGATAAGACGCTGTTTGAAGCACAAGGATTATTATTATCGCTGTTCTATCTCTCTTGCAGGAAGCAGAGATGTTAACTATTGATTCATAAGAGGGTGTTGAGCACCGAGAGATGACAAAGCTGTTTGGAACTTAATGATAATGATAATAATAATAATCCTCCCATTTGACACAGCGCCTTATCACGCCTTCGCGGCGTCTCAAAGCGCTTCACGGGCTGCACTGCGCAGCGAGTTAGGCCACTGTTATATTTTGCGGGCACACACTTTGAAGATGTTTAAGGCCGCTTAAGACTGAACGTTGGCTGCTATCATGTTTAAGTGGTCCGGGTATAAAACGTGTGCCTTTAATGGGGTCCTGGTTGAGTTTGCGCAATTCAGGCCTCACTATGTGGTGTTGCTCCTCAGCAAGCCGACGCAAAGATAAACGGTAACCTTTTGGCGTTGGCGACTTGGATCTATTTGATACCCGGGGTGTGTGTCGGGTGTAGCTGTCTTGAGCAGTAACACTCTCAGTGAACCCCAGAACAGAAATTATATCTGTCTGCACAAGTGGGGCCACGAGAAATGGCCTTCAGACCACCTTAAGAGCATCTGCTGATGTCGAGTCGCACAGCCCCGCAGTTTGGGAGTATTAACGGGACCTTTCCTTGGTGTTATTCTGAGCTTCACATGCCATTAGGCCCATCTTGCGGTGGGAGTTCCCTGTGGCTCAGTGGTTCGAGCCCTCGGCTCGCAAGCGAGAGGACCTGGGGTTCGATCCCCCGGGCGGGTCAGGTCAGGGCGAAACGTTGGGCAAGTTTCCTTACTCCACACACACGCGCCTCTATTTACCCGGTTGTTAGTCGATAGTGGGATTGCTTTTCCGGGGGTAATAATCCCTTCAAAATATATTAATAATAATAATTTGGTCGCTCAATCCACGACTGTTTGTGGGGACGCTGCTGTGCGCAATTGACGGCCACGTTTCGCCCACAAAGCATAGAGTCACTACACTTTACAGTGTGTCCTGTGAAGAGCTTTGAGATGTCTTGAAGACGTGATGAGGCGCTGGATCAAATGCGAGGATTATTATTATTATTATCTTTCCCTGGCTCCACTGGCTCCCTGTCCCACAGCACACAACACCCACACTATGTCAAGTCTCTCCGAGCTCTTGCCTCACCTCCTGTCTCCACCACCACAACCTCTCAACCGAAACCGTCAGCTCCACAAACATGGAGGCCTGAAGCACGTGAGCAAAAAGGGCAGGTTTGGCCCAACTGGCAAGGTATACACTCTCAACAAGAGATGACTGTGATCTTATCAATGGCATTGTCTGATTCCTGCATTCAATACAGACATCACAGGCTTCACACTGGGCTGACCTTCTGAGCAGCTTGCGAGTAGATTGATGGAGAAAGCCAGGGGCAAAATGGGTGTAGAATAACAGTGCTTGTAAACGAGAGGAGATCAGTACAGCCGTATACATTGCAGAGAAGCTGTTCGCTCACACGGCTTGCGAGTCCAATTTATCAAGGGAACAAAATAGCTTAAGTACAATATAGTCTACTCTTTTCCCTTCAGCGAAATACAAGTTTAAATGAGGCGAACGTGATATTTCCTGCAGTCTCAGGTTTTCCACTTAGGTTGCGCTCAGCTCACAATTTTCTTATGCGTAGGTACCAGCGAGTAATGAAGCTGAACATGTAGTAGATGCACCAGGAGCATTGGCAGAAAGAGTAAAGGATGGAGGGAAAGAGATGGGAAGTGTGATTTACACTGAAGGGCTATAATACAAAATGGTCTTCCTCCTGTAGCTCATTGGTTAGAGCTCTCGCCTCGCAAACGAGAGGACCTGGGTTCGATTCCAGGGCGGAACGTTGGGCAAGTTTCCTCACTCCACACACACACACACACACACGGCGCTGTTTACCAGCAGTGAGTAGGAACCCGGTCGTTAGTCGAGTGGCCAAATTAAATGAATAAGAATAATTTAGTCACTTCAATTCACGGCGGTTTGTGGGGCACGCTGCTGGGCGCAATCGGCTGCCGTGTTTTGCCCACAAAATACAGTCACTACACTTTACAGTGTATCCTGTGTGAAGCGCTTTGAGGCGTCTCGAAGACGCGATCAGGCGCCGTGTCACGTGCAAGGAGTCAATAACAATAATCCTTGCACTTGATGTATTTTTTTAAGGGATTATTACCCCCGGAAAAGCGATCCACCAATCGACTAACAAGCGGGTTCCTACTGACTGGTGAGATGCCCAAGTTATAGCCCATAGCTACCATAAACTCAGCCAAAAAATTGGTCCCAATCTCAAATGCTCCCCTCCCCTTCCCCTAACATACGTGCGTGCTGCTCATCCAGGTCACTCTCGTCTGCTTTGTCTTCATCATCACCTTCTTCCTCCTCCTCATCTTCGTCGTCCTCATCATCATCCTCCATGGTGAACAGAGAATCTGCCAATGAGAAACAAGTTATTTCCACCCCGGGTCTCTCTGGCCATAACAATCCTCGAAGCGTCTCGATGCGCTTTGCGGGCGAAATAAAGAAGGGAAGAGGGAACGGAACGTGCTGTGAATGACCAACTAAGAGTAAGTGACATTTACCAGAGCCTTTCACATCAGGAGGATGTCCCCAGGCGCTGGATGGAGAGCCGGGGATCCTCACCCGAGCTTGGGGTTGGGTTCAGGAGGGGTGAGTGGGGGGAATGGGGGGTGGAGGGAGCGGGGAAGGTAGGGGTAGGAGTTCGAAGAGGAGGGAGGAGAGGCAAGGCGTAGGGACCGTGGATGCACACCTGAGACGTTGACGGAGAAGTAGGAGGTCTCGCTCCCAGATGGACCGTTGGTTACACAGGTGTAAAGGCCGGAGTCTTCGCGGACAGATTCGCTGATCTGCAGGTACTCGGCTGTGATGCGGGTCCGATTGTTGGTGGGCAACTGCACCCCATCCTTGGTCCAGTCGATGCTCTGAACGTCATCTCTCAGGCGACATTGCAGCTCCAGGGGGCTGCCTGGGTGAGCGGAATAGGGCTTCACCTCGATCTTCTGCTTCAGGGACACTGAAACGCACAGAATCGCAGGGACTATAAAAGAGCCGTGCAAATTAATCACACTCCCCCCACGCTCTCTCTCTCTCTCCCCCCCCGCCCGTAGTCCTGCAAACTTATCCTCTCCGCAAATATCTATCTACCTACCTACCTACCTACCTACCTACCTACCTACCTACCTACCTACCTACCTACCTACCTACCTACCTACCTACCTACCCTACCTACCTACCTACCTACCTACCTACCTACCTACCTACCTACCTACCTACCTACCTACCTACCTACCTACCTACCTACCTACCTACCTACCTACCTACCTACCTACCTATCTATCTATCTATCTATCTATCCACATTTTAATTGACGACGAGGTGGGAAAGAAGTGGCTTCTCGGGTCAGAGAAAGCTCGGTTGAGAAATAATGCCTAGAGATAGCGGAAATCAACACCGAGCACAGTAACACTGGAAAGACATCGCAGTGTCATGTTACCGGCTGAAAGGGACAGATAATGTTTCGGATGTAATCCCTCATTAACAACTGCAAGTTTTCGCTGGTGGTGGGGATGGGTGGACTCATTTTGCTCCAATGTCTTCCAACTGCACTGCACGGCGAGTTGGGAGGTTGGGAGTAAACTTGGGAGCGAAAGTACAACCGGTACAATCTCCGGATTGTTAAGGAAATGGATTTAACGATGAACACTGGAGTCCTGTGGCTTAGAGCCCTCCACCTTGCGAGCGAGAGAGAGAGGACCCGGGTTCGATTCCCGGGCGGGTCAGGTCAGGGCGAAGTGTTGGGCAAGTTTCCTTACTCGCCCCCTCCTCCACACACCCGAGCTGGGGGTTGGGATCAGGAGGGATGGAGGGAGGGGAGGGTGGGGGGTAAGAGGGTGACTGAAGGCCCGGTCGAAGAGGAGATGGGCCTTGAAGGAGGCAAAGGAGGGGGTGAGGCGGAGGGACTGTGGGATTGAGTTCCAGAAGGTGGGGGCAGGGAGGCTGAAGGCCCGACCGTCGATGGTGGGGTGGACCGGGCGGGGGGTGTGGAGCGAGCCGGAGGGAGGGGACAGGTCGACGAGGCAAACAGTCACCATATCCTTTAATACTCCCCTTACTCAAAGGTCTATATAAATTCCTTTCAAAGAGGAATTTAGATCGACTCTGCCTCCGCAACTACTTATGACAAAGAATTCCACGTTCCAACCATCCTCCAGTGTCAAGAAATATTTTCTAACCTCCCCTCTAATCCTCTCTGCGATAATCTTGAACGCGTGCTGAGGGGAAGTAACTGATCTTTACTCATGTGTGCGGGAGCATTTTGGTTCAGGCCTGAGATTAAATTAAATTTAGCATTTAAACCAGAGCGAGAGACAGAGACAGAGAGAGAGAGAGAGAGAGAGTGCATTTCGTTCTGTGGTTGTCTTGCCCATTAGCTGTGGATCTCTGCAGAATTGATTATAATAATTATCTTCGCTTTTGAGACAAAGCTTACAGTGCCAAATCTCTCAAAGCGCTTCGGATGTAACTGCCGTTGAGTGCAGTCGTTGAGAAATTGTAGGGAAATATAGCAGACTTTTGCAAACAACAGCAGGATCCCCTCCAAACTGCCACGGCCTTGCAAGATTATTGGCTCGGAAACAATGAGAAAGTCTCTTCTCTCTGCCAATATTGCTGGCAATTACATCGAAATAATGATTCAATGATTTGAAAATGGTTACGTTCAACAAATAACGGGATGTTCCCATTTGGAGCCACGGGAAGGGACGATGCCAGGGTCAAACCAACTGAGCAGAGGATGCAAACGCTCACTTTGTAAATAAAAATAATCATAATCATAATAATAATCCTCGCGTTTGACCCAGCGTCGTATCACGTCTTTCGAGACGTCTCAAAGCGCTTCACAGGATACATTGTAAAGCGTAGTGACTGTACACTTTGTGGGCAACGCGTGGCAACCAATTGCGCACAGTAGCGACCCCACAAACAGCCGTGGATTCAGCGACCAAATTACTAGCATTATTTTATTTGTTTAGTGTAATTATTTTGAAGGGATTATTACCCCCGGAAAAGCAATGCGCCAATTGACTTACAACCGGTTTCCTACTGACTGCTGAGTGTGTGTGTGTGTGTGTGTGTGTGTGGGAGGAAGGAAACTTGCCCAATGTTTCGCCCTGACCTGACTCACCCGGGAATCGAACCCGGGTCCTCTCGCTTGCGAGGCGAGGGCTCTAACCACTGAGCCACAGGACTCCTCGCCTCGTTCAAGGCTACTGCCTCAGCTCACTGTCTCTCGATAGCTGCTTCAGTGTCAGGGTTTTATGCTCAGTAAAAAAGGCCATGATACTAGGCTCTGGCACAAGCCAATTGAAATCCAATTGAGACCAGACGTTCTGCTTCCCCTGAAGTGCCGGATTTCTAACGGCTAAATCTTAATTTCCCGAGCGGTAAACCAATTTCTCTGCTTGCGTCGTACATCAGAGCTGACAGTGGGTCATTCGCAGAGCGAGCATCTCAACAGGTTCAATCTCGATTTCCAATACGGGTTCCTTACGGGCAAAGCTGATGAAGCCATTTATCTGGGCGTTGAAGAGGGTCATCAATCCACCGGCCTTTCTATTTCCTGGACCTTTCCCCAAGTTCTGGTGACCTAGACTGAGCCCAGAGCTCAGAATGTGATCTCACCAGCACTTTTGTGTATCAGCATTACCTCAATAGCCTTAGACTCTGTGACCCTATTCGAACACACACGTCATTTTGTGTTTGTGTTAGCATCTGCTTTCCTGATGATTATCCTTGTCATCGGCATTGCCAACGACTTATTTAAAGATCCACTCTATATCCAAACAACACAACAGAAAATACACAGAACCTCCCGGCCATTTGAGCCTCAGGATTAGCGACTGTACATGTAACGCTCTCGTAATAATAACAACAATCCTGGCATTTGATACAGCGCCTTATCACGTCGTCGAGAAGTCTCAAAGCGCTTCACGGGGAAGTTTAGTGACTGTGGGCAAAACCCGGCAGGAAATCCATTGCGAACAGCCCCCCCTACAAACAGTCGGGGATTGAGTGAACAAATTATTTTTTTTTGAAGGGTTTATTACCCCCGGAAAAGCGATCCGCCAATCGACTAACAACCGGGTTCCTACTGACCCGCCCGGGAATCGAACCCGGGTCCTCTCGCTTGCGAGGCGAGGGCTCGAACCCCTGAGCTCCAGGGAACCAGAGGCGCGTGTGGAGTAGGGAATCAAACCCAGTTCCTCTCGCTTGCGAGGCCCTAACCACTGAGCTGCAGGAACTCCGCACAAAACCTGCGTAGACCAGGCACTGAACCATGGAAAATTCCCGGAGAGTATGGCTTAACCACTTAGGGAATTTACTCATGTGAGCGAGGGAGGGAGGGAGGGAGGGAGGGAGTGAGCGATTGGGGAAATCCCATTTCGAAGACTTCGGACTGTTGGTATCTAATTGTTTCGGGGCTCACGTCAGTTTGGGTCACTTGTCTACGCTGCCTTTTATTGCTTAGCGTTCGTCCAACATATCAATGGCCTGTGCGTTGCGTCCCGTGACTTGCCTCAAGCAGTTGGGAGTGTCTTGCCCTTTGACTCCGGCCTCAGCCCTAGTCCAATGGGAGCAAAACCATCCCCTAAATCCCTGACATTCGCTCTGATACTTCTGCGGTCACGCACTTAATGGGAAACAGGCCCCCTGGCTCTGTGGGAACAGAATCCTGCCTTGTGAAGTCACAGTCTCTGCCCCTGTTGGTAATCCTACCCTACCACAAGAGTATAGCTTAACCAGAAAAGGACCCCACTGCACTGACACGGTCTGATCCAGCAATTATTCAGGGCTTCAGCTACTCTCTCTCTCTCTCTCTCTCGGTCACTGCTCGGAGATCGCAAATTCTGCTCCGTATCCGATATCACGAGGGGTCTCGGAATGCTTGGCCCGGGATTTGCGGGATGGCAGAGGTTTTTTTTTTGTGCATTGCGGAAATCCGTCCCCTCTTCGATTCCAAAAGTCGCCGCCCGCAGTTATACGGCGAGTCTCATTCCACGTTGTCTCAGGACAAAATTTGGACGAACAGAAATATTTCTTTCCCTCAATCTCTCTCTCTGCCCTCACCCTCTGGAACTCCATACCACAGTCCCTCCGCCTCACCCCCTCCCTGGCCTCCTTCGAGACCCGTCTCAAGACCCTCCTCTTCGACAACCCTTCTCTTCGGTCACCCTCCTACCCCCTCCACCCTCCCCGCCCTCCACCCCCTCCTGATCCCAACCCCCAGTTTAGGTCCAAACCCCTGACTGTCCAGCGCCTCGGGACGTCCTCCTGACCTGAAAGGCTCCGTGTAAATGTTGTGTGTTGTTGTTGTTGGAAGAGAGAGAGAGAGAGAGAGAGAAAGAGAGAGAGAGAGAGATTTGGGACGTCGCCATGTGAGCAAATGTCCAACAGGACATTTGTTGTGTTCAACTCAACACAACTTTTTCATGGAGGAGCTTTTTTTTTTCTTCTCCCTATTCAAAACTGCGTGCAGTTCAAAACAGGCGCCACTGTTTGTGTTTGGGGGGGGGGGTCCGCGTTTCGCCCGCGAGAAACACACACGGTGGTCGCTGCGCTCTCGCTTTGCGTCCCGCCAGGCGCTTCGCGACGGCTCCAAGACGCGATCGGGCACTGCATCAAACGCAAGGGGATTATTAGTATTATTTTAGGCAAATTACGGGGATTAACATGAAATCTCGTGCCTCCAGCCAGCCGGTCCTCTTCATTCTCCTTCCCTCCCTCCCTCCTCCACCCGCACCTCTTTCTTTCTCTCTCTTTCTCTCTCTCTCTCTCTCTCTCTTCCTTGCTCCGCACAAATGGTGGCAAGCCAGGCTGCAAGGGGATTTCTTGAGCTGCATACATCAGACAAGCCTGAACAGAACGCTGTGTTTGCCCGTCAATGAGTGCAATAAAACGTACAACAAAGAAACAATGCGGTGGACAATGGGGGCATTGACTGTGTTTCATCAGCAG